AAATAACCGAATTCTATATCGAACCACTTGTAAATTTTTGCATGTGTCACAAAGTTCTTGACACGAGATTCCTTCTTCCTGAGCTTTTGCATCTGTGGCAGTCCCATATTCGTCAGTACCACAAATGAATAGCGTATTATAATTACGAGAACGCGAATATCTTTAAAAGAAAACATAAACTGCAGTGCGTAGCGAACAATAATCAGTAATGGTTCAGAGATAATTCAAAAGTTATTGACAATTATTTTTGCTTTTACCTAGAAAACATGTCTGCGCTTAGGACACTCCAAATAACATTTCCCAAATGAGGTACATTATTAACATAGGACAATGCGCTAGTTATAAATACGTTCTGCTCGCCAGGAATAGGTAGCCTGTAAAAACAAATTAATAAAAATCACAGCTCACCCAACTGTTAACGCAAAACTAGTATTGATAATACCTAATTCTATCCGTTTGAAGGTCAATGGCAACATGTGGATTTATTTTTCGCACAAGAATGACCGGTAAGGAATTACAAATTACAACGCTGATCAGGATAAAAAGTTATTACAAGACGATATCAATTTCTAAAATAAAGTATATGATTATTAAATAGTTTTTTTAAAAAAAAAAAATTAGAACGCTGAAAAAAAGAGAGAAAAAAACCTTCAAATCATCGATAATATCGACTTCATTAAGTCAATTCTACTATATCTCAAAATGCTCATGTCCTCATTTATCCTTTTGATATTAGAAAAATTACTATCGGACAAAATATCTCCATAAACATTCATTGAAAAAAACAAAATACCTTTGAATATCCCGAAACAATTCATTACATTCCATCTCCATAACATAATCTCATCTGTCATTTGTTTTTCTGCAATTAATAATATTTCAGTTGCTTGATTTAATGTCAACCGACATCTAACGTTTCATCTAATGTTTCATCTTGATTCATATCAATATCCATCATATCGTGTTTTGATGAACTGATTTCCTCGTTGCACTTCTCTCAATCTGATACTCTTTATATAATGCTTTAATATGTTTATTGTTTCTAATAAGGTTATTAATATTATTAATATTTTGCTTATGACGCGTCCTGACAAAAAAAAAGCAATATATTCACCTATAAGAATTAGGAAACAAATTCGTAAATTGTTTAAGAGTTATATTACTTTCAAGTTCACTATTAAGAAGATAGGAAAGCAAACGGTTGCCATTTATTTTTAAACTTTACAAAGACAAGTTTAATTTTAGTAGCATAGCGATAGCAGTGGCAGAAAAATTGGGCAATTACGTGCCCGACGATCATTTCCGAGATCGATTCCGATCTACATAATAATACTGTATACGTATTAGAAGTTAGTTCGTCATTAGTTAACTGTTAATACGTAAAACAGAATACTCAATTCGCAGAAAAATTTAATGCGTATATACTGGATTTTGCTTTGATTTATTCTTACTATTTGATTGGCTAAAGAACATGTGACAATACATGAACATCTAATTTATAATCAAAACAATACGAAAAGACCTTACATAGTTTTTTTTTACGCTTTATTTCTTACACTTTTTAAACATTTTTTTAATAACAAACTTTATTATAATATATTGTATTTAGTTTTTATTTTATCTCAAGAAAGCTACGTCGACTCGTCGGTATATAAAAGGTAACGTATCATAGATGTCTAGGTTGTTTTCACTG